AAATTGTGAAGAGCCTATGATCATTTCGTCAAGAAATATCCAAGTTTTCCATCAAATATTAAATATTCTGAAGAATATGTATTGACATCATAAAATTCAAATCACTCCTATATCCCTTAATCAATAGACTAAAAAAAATAGATCTTATTCAGCAGACTAAAAATGTAAAAATGTCTCACAATTTCATAAAAGTCTATTTTAATTCATAGAAAGTAGTTAAAGAGTGAAAGCATATATAGACATACACTAGATATCACACAGAATCATTGTGTGTCATCTTTTAGATATTCTTTAGTAATTTTTTGAAGTTTGACAAGATTTTAAGTTGCTTCAAGAGCCATATGTTTCTTATATTTTCATTCATCTAACATTCATTATACCTTATAATAGAGTAGTATACACGTTTAATGTTAGGAAATATTTGTGATATTAACAAATTAATTGATTAGTTACATTTTCCTGTTTATACTCACTCCTTCCCATTGAGTATATCTTCTAAGACTTTATGTTGCTGTTTGGTAATCGAAGTCCAAACTGAGCACTCCATTTTCATTGCCAACAGTACACCTGGCAATTTCTTTCGTGCCCCATCACAAGGTACTTGTTGTCAATTCCAACCTCTAAGGCGAGGTTCTTAACCTGGTGTGTGGGTAGAATTCAGAGTGTTTATGAACTTGGATGGGAAAAAAAATTACACTTTTATCTTTACTGATCTCCTAATTAAAATATAGTATTTCCTTTAGTAAAAATTTGGGCAAAAATAATCTTTAATTTTATCACCAATAAAAATTAGATATTTTTGTCATGTTAAAATATTATAGCTCAAAATAGTGTGTATATTTAGAATAGAAATTATTAGCCCTCCTGCTTATTTAATGCATCAGAAGAGTACATATATATATATTAGCATATATTTACTTATGTGTATTAGTATATATGCTAAAATTCTTTAAAAAATTTCTGCAGCTATTTTGTTATGATTAATTTATTTTATATTTCATTTTATGCATTTAAAACATCATTCTTAAAAGGGTACTATAGTTGAGAAAAAGTCCTGGTTTAAACATAAAAAGATTAGGAATGCTTGCTCTACTGACTTGCTCTGTAATAACTGTGTTAATTTGCTTATAGGGATGATAATTCTATCATATAATATTCTTTACATAACGTATTTCATTCTAATAAGTTCCTTTAGGAGACACAACATCTTAACTCAAGGGTTTGAAGAAGATACTTGTTGAGAAGGAAGGCCTTTTGGTTCCTTTTAATTTATACCATGTGGATGGTTTTATATTTTTCTTTACATTTATATATCTCATTGGTCCTGCTAAAGCACATGAGTTCATCTCTATTTTCATATTTATGTGAATAGTTAAAGCAAGGTTTGGATCTTATGAATTTAAACACAAATTTCTTATACTGTTTTGCAATACAATTTATAGCTACAAATTTGAATGTATAGAATATGCTTTTTCAAGAATAATAAAATTATTACACATGGGAACTCATTAAAAGTTGGAAAAGTATCTGGCATATGTTCACTAGTTCCATTGCTTCGTATACCAAAAATTGAAATCTTATGTCTTGTGGCCATTTCTACTCCCCAGTAGCTTTTAAATCTGCTCTTAAATTAATTTAGAATACCAAGCTCATGAAAGTGATGACAGAAAAACATTTCTCAGATTTTTATAGTATGTATATCTTCTCAGATCAATATTCCCTCTCTTCCAAAGTCATCCAAAAAAAAAAAAAAAAAAAGAAGCAAATCAATATTTCTTCCAGGAAAATTTTAAATTAACTATGTTTAATGATTTTTTAGACTCATGAGCTTCTTTAATCCTATAGATTTTTTTTACCTTACTTTATGCCTTTTTAAATTTATAGATATTCACAGATTAATACTTTGACAAGCAATGCATTCTCTTATTTTCCTTAAGAGATAATCAACTAGTTATTTTTACTGACTCTTTTAGCCAATGTTATATACTTGTTTTCTCATATGTAAGTAAAAGGACAGGTAAATCTGACTCTTTGGTCTATTTCCACAATCATTATCATCAGGCTCCAGTATCAAAAGATCTTGGGAGGAACGTATGGCCTTAATGTTCTTACATATAAGAGAAATACATATAAAGGAAGACTCTTTAAAATTACTTCTTTAATTGAAATTTAATTGAAAGACAGTAGAACTTAAATGCTCTCACTAAAAAAAATAAAAAGCATACATTTATCAAATTATCATTTTGTGTACTTTAAATCTTATAATTTCGTTATACTTTGATAGAGCCGAAAAAATAAAAATAAAATCACTTCCACTAAAATTGTTGCTAAGTTTTGAGAGGGTTAAGGGTAAAGATTATAGGAAAAATATGACAAAGAATAAAAGGTTAAAAAAGAAGAAAACATGTAAGGAAAGGATATTAAGAAAGGCAGAAGAGGGAGGGAACAAAAAGTAAAACAAGAAGAAAAAGAGAAAACACAGAGAAGAATAAAAATAAAGACTAAGAACAACAGGGGAAAATGAAGAAGACATAAAATGAGTGAAAGGTGGAGGTAATATAGTTAATAAAATTAAACAAGAAACTAAAATTATATCAAAAAGCATCTATTTCTAAAATAAATGAAATAAGCAGATATAGGCTATAAAGGTTGGAGTTTGAGGTTTTGAAATATAAATACCATATTTTGTGAAAAAGAGTTCTCTAATAAAAGTGAACTTAAATAATTTTGATTTGAATTTTATAGAAACTCAATAACTTTCTTGAGTACAAAAGTTTGTTTCATCCTGGCAAGATAAATTTTTGAGTATTAGTTCAATGTAGTTATTCAAAAGGTTATTTAGTTCATACTTATGCAGCATACTAAAAATAAGTTGTCTCCAAGAAAATAAATTCCAGAAATTTTAGAAATCATCAGGTATACCTAAATGTAGATGGTATTCAAATGCTTACATTAAAAACAAAATGAAAAGATGAGGTTCTTATAATACTATTATTTTTACTGGGAATCTATTCACTTCTAAAAGAGTGTCACAGTTGGGGAACTACAGAAAATAAAGCAGAAAAATGCCTGTATTTCATTACATTTGCTAAGTGTATATAATATGCAGTTTCAAAACTTTAAAATGCCAAATAAATATATAGGCTGTTCATTCCTCTCACTGACCAGTCGACTGTCAGACTTTTTTTAAAAGAATACACAGTTTACAAAAGCAATTATCCATTTTTATTTTGTTTACATTGCACTGAAAATTTACATCATACTTTTACAAAGTTTTTTTTCATAAAAATATACTTCTTTACAAAAGTGTATGCATTAATATAAGAGGAGTAGCCAGTTGCAGAAGAAACATCGTTCAAACAAGATCATAGATGTATTAACCTTAACATTAATGAATGAATCATTGTTATTGCAGTCATTTGAATAAACAAGAATAAATAACTGATGGCGTAAAATTTAAAATGGTATCCTGTCAGTAGAGTACAGTGTTGAGAAAATTGTATGAATTTCCAGAACAAAGTATCTCAAAGTGGTTTACAAGAAATTCACTAAGTGTTGGAGAGAGAGATCCAAGCAGCGCTCCAGGGTGCAAATGATTTCTCTTAGGCACTCTGTCTCATGATACAAAACATCAAGACTGTTTACAGAGTTATCCATATTTGAAAGAGACAATAACAAAGAGTTCACACTGGGTACATAATTTATTCAATGAAGTTAACTATGCTATAAAAGACAATGACCTATTAAATAAAAAGGCTGGCATTTCTGTGAGACAGTTGTAAATGAGCCACCAATAACTTGCCAACGCATATCTTAATTTGACAATAAAACAAACCAGTCATATCTGAAACCTACTTTTTAAGAATAAGAATATAAAAATTTTTAAATATATGAAAATTTGGTAAATCCACAATTTTAGGAAACAACTTTATATTGGTGATTAGAAAGAGCAGATTTTTTTTTTTTTGGTCATGTTTAGGAGCTAGTCCAAAATATATGTTCAAATCATTTTTCTTAGGTAAAAATTCAAAACAATGTTAAATAAATTTGAAGGCTCAACTTGAAGGAAAAGTAGATATGTCATAAGTTAAATAAAATAGATTACTAGGTTCTATTTGGTCTTTCGAAAACACTGGAAAGTTTGGTAAAAGATGATAAGTTTGGTGTCTCAGATAACTGCAAAATCATTGTTATTATCGTTAAGTTTTTGCCAGCTGAAGTGGTTTGTGTGTGACAGAACCGCCTGAAGCAAGAAGTTAAACTCTAACCCATGGCTCACTGAATACTACTGGTTAAAACATAATGAGGGGAATCATGATGATGTTGCCATTGCAGAAATTATAAAAACCAATCTTAAAAAAAGAATAGCAGTATGACACTGAAGAACAAAAGCTAGAAAGAGTAAAATCAGAGTGGGCAATTGTATCTCTACTGTGGCATAAATTAGCTCATAAACATTTCAGGGCTAAACTCAATCTCGAATAACCATAGAAATAAGGAAAACAATGACTTAAAAACAGCCAATAGAATGGTGTGAAATACAAACTTATGGGTGTGGTGTAGCGCATGACAGTTAAAGAGAAGTCAGTGACCTACTGACTCTTGTAAGTATAGCTCTTATTGTCTACCCTATATCTTTTTTTTTTTTAACCCAGTCCCTCTAATATAGTTTATAAAGCACAGAAATACTGATAGTGGATGCTCCTCCAATATATGCAAATAAGTTTATGTTTTAGAATAATCTCCTTTTTTAAAAAAGCAAATAAACTGTGAGTAAGCACTCTCAGAGTGCAGCTGAATTTCTGTAAAACTCTCCATGGTAAACATGAAGAAGAATTATGATCCAGTTTATGAAAAAAACACTCTTCTCTATCATTCCTCAGGAAAGGGTGACTCAGCAAGTCCTGGAAAGTGTGCTTTAATTTGTTCAGCAGTGAACTAACGTGCACTGTTTTGTGTGTCGGGTTCCGAGCTTCTGAAAGAGGCAAAAGGTTGCCGTGTTATACCATTGTGCAGACAGTGTTCAAGTTAGGATCAAATCGTACTGCCTTCCCTTCCACTGACTTCGCATTGGTGTCGTACATGGGATTCTCAAAAGCTGCTTGGCCATTGTTATTTTCATGAACTGAACATCCTGTATACTGTGTTTTGGGTGCTGTCCTGTTGATGAAAACATTGATTAGCTTTGTGTTAACTTTCTTCTAGAAGTAGCAAAGTAGGGCTAAAACATAAGATACTTGGGTTATCATTGTTAATAATGTAACTTGAAAGTATTTAGGAATACTTTGTACATTTGAACAATTTACCTGTCACATTTAAATCCTGAGTGAACTTATTTACATACAGTAAACATTTATATACAGCACTATTATGAATAATACAAGTGTAAATAAGTGATATATTATGACTATTTGCGTAAATTTTCTTATGAAATAATAAATTATGATGATGATGAATTTAAATCTCATTACTAGTCATTCATTTATTCATTTATCGAATATTTACTGAGCATCTATTATGTGTCAAACGTGATCCTAAACATCAAATATGTAATATTTTAAAAAAACATACAAAATCATTACTCTCGGGGAGCTCATATTGTAGTGATAAAAAACAATGAATAAATAAAAAATAAAACAAAAAGTAATAGGTAATGAAAACTGTTTTGATGAAAAGGAAAATGGTTGATATGATAGGAAGTAACTGGGAGCCACTTTAAGTAAAAGAGAAAAGCATGTCTGAGGAGGTAAAATTTAATCTGAGACTTGAGGAACAAGAATGAACTGGTTCTGAATTAATCAGCAGGGGATTCCAGGAGCAGCAGACAGCTAACCACTGCTGAGGCCTAATTTGAGATAGTACTTGGAGTATCCCCAAAACACAAATGTCATTGTTTTAAATGACATACATTAGATCAAGTAAATTCAAAATCTCAAAAAAGAAATGACTATATGGGTACTCAAATCATGTAAACAGTTTCCAAAGAGTTAGGGACAACTGAACATTTCTCTTTAGTTAAGAAAACAAATGAAGTCTAGCCTGGCTCGTATTAGTTGCTGGTTTGCATTGCTGCTTCATTTTTTTTTTTTTTTTTTTTTTAATTTCTCTCACCTTTGACTAATGCTTATTTCTAGTTTCTCTTTTCCACATCCCAGTGCATAATTTGCTCACACTTGTTATGGAACAAAGTCAGAGACTTGCTCCTACTTGTTTCTAGGACTTAATTCTTAAAAATCACATATATTAAAATAATCTGTTTCTCAACTCTTTTGTTTACACCAAGCACCACAAATTTCAACTATATTTTATTGTAATTTATATTTGTCATTATATTGTTTTACTATCCCGAATGCATTTTCTGAACTTTTCTCTATACTAAAAATGGTTAGGTGATTTGTAAGACAATATTTTTTGTTAAAAAAAAGCTATCTAAATTTCTTTCAGTGGCATTACCATTATAGTTATATTATTTATAACTTAATCTTGTTAGGTATATAACTCTCAAGAATCATATCTGTCTCATTTTTCAAACGAGATTCACAATTCAAACTAGAAACAACATAATTTTCTTCCAATTAGGTAAGAATCATGAAGATGTAAAGGAATTTCCTTTTAATATACAGCAACAGCTTTAAGGCAAATAATACCATCAAGCTTTAGAAAAGATAAGTTTACACCATCAACAAAAATTAACTTGAAATGAATCGAAGTTCTAAATATAAGAGCTAAATCTACAAGACTCTCAGGAGAAAACATGCAGGTAAATCTTTGGGACCTTCAATTTGGCAATGGTTTCTTAGATATGACACTAAAAGAACAAGTAACAAAAGGAAAATTGGATTTCAACAAAATGAAAAAATTGGATTTCAACAAAATGAAAAAAAAACTTTGTATATCAAAGACGACTATAAATAGAGTAGAAATACAATTCACAGAAAGGGAGAAATATTTGCAAACGATATATCCGATAAGAGTCTAGTATCCAAAATATATAAAAAAACTCTTACAACTCAACAAGACAAACAACCCAATTAAAAAACGAGCAAAGTACCTGAATAGGCATTTCTCCAAGAAGACAGACAAATGGCCAACAAGCACATGAAAAAATACTCAACATCATTAGTAATTAGAGAAATGCAAATCAAAACCACAATGAGATATCACTTCACACACACTAGGAGAAGGAAAAGAAAGAAGGGGCAGGGGTGGGGAGGAGAAGCTGAAGGAGGAGGAGAAGAAAAAAGAAAGAAAAAGGAAACAAAATAACAGGTGTTGACAAGGATATGGAGAAAGTGGAGCCCTCATATATTGCTGGTGGGAATGTCAAATTGTACAGCTGCTGTGAAAAACAGTTTAGTATTTTCCCAGTAAGTTAAATGTAGAATTGCCATATACTGTGGCAATTCCATTCTTGGGTATATTCTCAAAAGAATTAAAAAAGGTGTCCAAACAAAAACCTGTACTTGAATGTGTATAGCAGTGCTATTCACAGTAGCCAACTGGTAGAAACCACCCAAATGTACATCAACTGATGAATGAACATATGCAAACAGAACATAGTAAAATATACAATAGAGTATTATTTAGTCATATAAAGGAACAAAGTAATGGTGCACAAAATAACGTAGATGAAACTTTTTAAAAAGTTGTTAAATTTAAGCCAGACATGAAATGTCACGTATTGTCTTATTCTAGTTATATGAAATATCCAGAATAGGCAAATCAATATAAAATGCAGATAAGCAGTTGCCTTGGACGAGGTGGGAGGAATGAGAAGTTACTGCTTACTGGGTACAATTTCCTTTTGGGGTGATGAAAATGTTCTGAAACTAGCAGTGATGGTTCCATGATACTAAGAATGTACAAAATGCCACTAAATTGTACACATAGAATGGTTTAAATGGTTTTAAGTTATAGATATTTTACTAAAATAATAAACAAGATTGGCATAGCTTGCTTTATAAATAAATTTAATGATGATTTTATTATCAGTAAAGTCTGATATTGACAAGGCCTAAACAGCTGCTTATACACGATTCTTACAAATTTATGTAATATTAAATAAATCATCCTTAGATAACACAGAGACTGACATTTATAATAAAAATGTCAGTTTGAAGAAAAATGTACTTAGTATTATTCACTTAATTATCTGGTTACCTACATGTTGTTTTCTTAATAAGGGATGGTCCTAAATAATAGAGAATTGCATAGCAAAGCCCCTCACCAGGATATTGTAAAAGACGTAGGGAACAAGAATTAGCTCATAATATGTATAGTCCTGTACATATTATATAACATATCAATTGCATAATCTTTTAAAAGCAAAAAAAAGTAAACAAGAAGATTAGAGGATTTCACCAACTGCCTGCCTGGGTAAAATAGGTCAGTATTGTCACATGAACTAAGAGGTTTGGACATAAGTTTATTCCTAGTTCTCTAAAAAAATTCTGACATCAAATATCACCTCTTCAACATAAAACTTAACCAAATTTTGTAACTCTAAAGTCTCACTATGGCTATGTAAAAATAACTTATACAATTAGTTATGGACTAGGAAATCGACGGGCAAAAAGAGAAAGGGTTAAGTTGAATGCTTGTGCAATGGGCTAGAATAATTTTTGTTTTGTGTATGTATGGGTGGTGAAAGCGCAGGTTGGGCAAATAAGGTTTTCAACAACTGTGGAAATGTTTGTTACATAGAGATTGCAACAACTGAGAAAAAAAATGGAAATTAGGATTTGAACTAAAGTAGGAAAAAGAACACGAAAAAAGTGTTGGGAAACATTTGTAGTTAAAATCAACAAACTTACCTTTGTTTATAAAGATAAAATCCAAATCCTGCAAATATAAGTGCAAAAAAAGGCACAAGAATAGCAATGGCCACAGAACTACTATTTGTACCATGAGGTTGATTTGAAGAGTTTAAACCTTCTGACATATTCAGTCCTATAAAGTAAAAAATAAGTTAAATACATAACCAACTCTATTTTATCACAATTGATTTTTATTTTATGAACCAATTAATTTTCTTTCTTGGAAATGTATCTAATATAGAAAAACAATTCATGAAATTCCTTCAACTCATTTCCACACAATTTTACATGATGCTTCTATGAATAAGATATTTTTCCAGGAAAGGATACAAAATAAAAATAAGCAATGTCTTTGAACTGAAGAGTTTATATATAATTGTGGGAAGAACACAAAGACATAAATAACTGGATGCATCAAACATGAATGAATAATCAATGTGCTTTTGGAAGGGAAAGACTAATTCCATTTGGTGGTATGTAACAATGTTTTCTGGAGGATGTACAAGATGAACTTGGCCTTGAAGAATCAATAGAACAATAAATGGAAGAGGAAGCAGGACAGTCATAAACCTAGAAATGGGAAGGTGACTGGAATATTTAGGAGATGTGACAAACATTAGGCATATATGTGTGGAAAGGACATGCAGTAGGAATAAGAGGCTAAACTATGGTTAGACTCTAAAAGACATAAATATTCTGAAGAGCTCACACTTACTACCCACCTAGAATGAGGGATACGTGAAGGAATTTAGAAATAAAAGAAATAAAAGACACAGTGATAAGATACAAGGTTTAGCATAGTGATGGGGGTGAGGTGGATTTGAGCGAGTCCAGACTGGAGGCTGGCATAGTTTGAGGCTTGTAGCAACAACCCAGTAAAACCAAATTAAGATGTGAACTGGAGCACTAGAAAAAGCATAAAAGATAGATGTGTGAAAACATTTTATAGTTAAAATCAACAGAACGTGTTTGTGTGGATGAAGGAGGTAAGAAGGCATATAAGTGTTCTACTTGGGGCTGAATAAATGGCAATGACATTAGCACAGTTAGAAAATGAGAAAAATCAGGTTTGTCAATGTGTTGGCACAGGTGGAAGAGGAAGTCACTATTTCAGAAAGAAACAGATTCTCCTTTTTAGGTTATGTTTTAAATGTGTAGTGTTTGAGATGTTTATGGGAATATTATGTGAAAACGTGTATTCAATTACCTGGCTGTGTTAGTGTATTGTCTTAATGTTTTATTCTGTTTTAAAAACTAAAAAAATTTAAGGTAAGATATTATCTGAAATGACATCTTATTATTATTGTTCATTTAGAGAAAGCTAATTTAACTTTTGGTAAATAGTTATATTTAACTAAGAGTTACAACTTAAGCCAGGTTAAAAAAGTTAGTAGCTTAGTTTATACCTTATTCTTCCAGAGACTCAGAATATTTATACAAAAGTTCAAAGTAATGGAATTTGTAAGATAAATGTCAAATAGTTTTTAGAGCCTGAATTTATTCTTTGTGTATCAATAACATAATATGATAATGGAAGACAGTATATCTTAGGAAAATTATATACCAAAAATTACATTAATAAATACATTTCAAGCAAGACCATTAAATGTTTACACACATTTTTGAAGAATTGGAAGGAAGAATGACAAAACCCGGTGTCTCCCACCACAGCAGATTTACATATCTGAGAAGCACAAAGCCCTGCAAAGGGACCCATTCCTCAAAGTTATTTTCCCTTTCCAGACCCTATGAGTTTCTCAAAGTGCCACAATGTTTTTGAAGAAGAAAACTGCAACAATCTTCAAACTGAAGAGAAGTATTACAGTTCTCATGAGATAAGATAATATAATTTACAGTTTAATATTTCCCTTTATATCTGTATCACTTTTTCTCCTTTTTTATTTGCTTAAGGGCAAGACAGTTTGTCATGTTTATTAGAAATATGATGAAAAATCAAACATCATACAGAGGTAGTACATAGAGAAACAATATTTTGAAAAATGCGATTATTTAAAAGGCTATCAGATGAATCTATGTATAGTCCTGACACTGCAAAATTCAAAATGCAGTAAGTGTGCCTAAGGTACAGAATCTACTGTATTTTCTTATGATGTCTGGAGTAATAAAGGAACTATATGAAAATGAAAATTAATACCTTACCCAGTCTTTGTAGTCCAAATTGCCCGTAATCTTTGCCCTGAATAAATCCTTGAAACACATAAGTAGCTCCATCAGGCTCAGCAGAAACCTAAAAATATTTATAATTTGATTAAATCTGAAAACTGGTCACATCTATATTTTCTCAGCCTTAATAAATATTCAATTTTATTTTGAAATGAATATTATGCAAAGTTCTGTCCTCTAGATCTTCCACCTATGTAAAATATAGTATGTTGTCCAAATTTGCCATCATTAAAAGCAAAATCAAAATTTTTATTTTTAAATAATTATGGTATTAAAAAAGGGGGTTGCATGTTATATATCTATATAATTATTTATCTATATATAATTTCTTTTAGGATAAGAAACCTTTTGTCAAGAAAGGGTAATGATATGGCAAAACAGAATGTGGCAAACCGTCAATTAAAAATTAAAGTATAATAATATTATACTTTTCAGATTAGATCACTGCTCAGCATATAAGCAATTCTTCTCCTCCCTCCCACTGTCCTTAATGGGAAGAGTATACTTCCTATGTCACTGAGTTGGGTTTGTTCCTGTGACTCGCTTTGGCCAATGGTATGTGGGTGGGATTGACAATAAGTCAGTTTCTAGCCTAGATCTTGAAAGGCATGTTTTCCACACTAACAAGTGAAATAAGTCAGTCATGAAACAACACATATAATATGATTCCGTAAATATGAAAGTCCAAATCAGAGAAATCTGTAGAAACAGAAAATATATTTCTGGTTGCTTAGGGGTAGGGTGGGGATAAAGGCTGGCTGGGTGGGGTGATAGCTAAAGAATATGAAATTTCTTTTTGAGGTGGTGAAAATGTTCCAAAATCAAATTTGGTAATGGTTATACAACATCTATAGATATAGTAAAAAGCATTGAATTTACACATTAAATGGGTGAATTGTAGGGTATATAATTATATTTCAATAGAGCTGTTTACAAAAGGGGGGCATGTCTTCTACTGTGCCCCTCAGTGCTTCTGACCTGTGACAAGAAAAAATATGCTCCTGGTAGCCACTGCCCCTCCAGCCTGGGCCGTAGAATCAGACACCTGGGACAGATCTGAACTTGCTACCATAGCTTCTAGCAGAACCAATGGAATGTTTGTGGAATTCATAATAGGTCTATCCACAACCAACCTCAGACACGTTGGAAAGAAATACTGACTGTTTGACTCAGACTTTGTGGCTACGTCTAAGGCTGTAAATGCTGACTATTAATATATTTAAAAACACTTTACATGCATAGTATCATTTGATCTTATAGATAAAATTGAAATTGAAACATTTTAGTGTTCCTGATAAGTAATATGAATCTACCCTGGTTTGTTCTAATTAGTTACAATGAGCTAAGTCATCAATGTTACTGAAAAAGTTGTAAAAACCCTTGAATATTCTCCCTTAAAAGCAAAATATCTTACCAAACTATCCATACAAGTCTAACAAATCACGACATAGTGATAAGATTCATTCCTAATTATTAGACGTCATACTCTGTGCATGGCCGTTTTTAAAAATAAATCCTTCTAAAAATAGCTCAAATTCTAATATTTAAATGAATCCATCCATTTTGTTTGATTCCTAGATGAAATGACACAATTAAACAATCTGAGTACATTGAAGACATGAAATAGTCCCTAACTCCATGAATAATGTCACATATATGGAAACAGGATGGACATTTTTTCCTCAGGAACCAAACTTATCTGCTGAATCTTCCTTGTAAAAGAAGGTTTGTTACTTGAGAGAATCTGATCACAGCTTTCAAGCTCATTTTTTTAGCAAAGGCTCTTGGACAGTATGTGAATATAAGACTTGCTTCCAATTCCCAGTTTAGTAAGTCCATTCACTTGAGTGTCTGAATAGGATAGGGTGACTCCATGGTGCAGCTATGGCAACTGTCTCCCCACATGAAGCAATTTGCATAACCTCCTCTTCACAGAGTTTTATAAAATATTCTAAATCTGTGCTTAAATTTAATGTGCATCTTAATTTTCCTGATTCATTCTGTTAATATGTTGCATATGCCTTACATAGTGGTTCCAGACAAAGACATTTATATTTTATCCAGATTTGTTTATCATAGTTCTGACTGTAGACAAAATACATTTGATGAAACCAATGAAAAACTGTATGTTCCCTGCACACATAAGTATTATGAAAGTAAGCAAAGTTCAGCAGAACCCAATAATCCTAGGTTTAACATCTATAGATTACTAAAGATCGATGTGTCTTTTGTTTTTTCAAAAAAAAAAAACATTATAGTAATTTTGTCATTTTATATGTGTATGTATTTGTGTTCATAACTAGCTAAATTTAGAAAATTACCTCTTTCTGGTCTTTTAAAAACAAACCGAAGCACGAATTTGTTATTAAAATCAGCAGCAGACTTTCAAAAAACTATACTTACAAAGCCATCCATAGCCCAATTTTCCTCCTTCATTTTCTTTGCAGAAGCATGGGCTGGTACTTTAATAAGATAGATGTGTAACATTAGGCGAGCTTCCTGGCTTTTATATACCCCTGTAAAAATAGTTATACTTCATTTTATTATCTTTAACTCTTTAAATGTATCATGTCATACATATGATAGATAAAGAAATAACACAAGACCAAGTCAAAGCCAGTTTTACCCATATTGCTGTTCACAAATCCTGCAAGATACATTGATCTCTCTTTCAGTTGAAATTCTCAACTTAAATCTTAATTGTGAAGTTTAAATTACCTATGCTATTAAAAAAAAAGTATTACTGTTCTGAGTAACACCATTCCATGATATTGCAAACAAAGTGATTTCTTCCCCCAGTCAGATTTAAAATCTTTAAGGAGATAATCAAATGTTAGAATTCCTTTTATTTTCTGTAAAATAAATTGGGTGCCAACCCTTTGAATGAGAGTATTCTAGGTGCAACTGGAGCCACAAAGATGAATAGGTGTTGTACCTATATAAAGAAAGATACAATCCTTAAAATCATTTCCGATTAAGTAGGAGATATGTTGGATATACGACTAACCAAAATACATGAGAGAATATGATAAATAAATTCCAGAAGAGAGAGGGATCATTTCACACTGGAGTGATCAGGAAATGCTTATTTTAAAAAAGCATTTGTGCTAGGTCTTGAAAAACAAGTAAGATTTTTATTTTGACAAGGTCAATACAGATAACAGAAAAAAGAGAGAAGTGAAATATGTACAATGATTTTTTTTCTTAAATGGTGAATATCCTAAAGTAGAAATAAGCTGAAATGTAAATATGTTTAGGGGAATAATAGTAAATAAGGTTCCAAGTAAAAAAGAAAAAAGAAATGTAACTCTTCTATGTAATAATGTATCATAAGAATATGCTAGGAATACAAAGTTAATGATAAATAGATCTTGACATAATGTAAATTGCAATTAATAGAAAAGAAAAAGAGTAATCAAAAATAACATAATTGATATATATGGAGACAGTGACAACTAATTAAATTAGTCTAATTATTCATATTTTTCTATATTTATAAAAATTTGCTTTGAAATTTTTCTAGATTAAAGTACAGTTGACTCTTGAACAACATGGGGGTGATAGGCACATACAGCTGACAATCCATGTATTACTTAAGGAAGCTGTCCACATAGGGTGCCTCCTAGCCACCAGTTGACCCTTGAACAACTTGGGTTTGAGCTGTGTGGATCAACTGGAAAAAAATCTACATGTAAGTGGACCCGTGCAGTTCAAATCCATGTTGCTCAAGGGTCAACAATATACATTTCTTTTGTGCTAACCTTTTATAGAAAACAAAGAAAAAATTTTCTATGTTTCAAAGTTAAATAAGTAGTCACAATTTAAATGCATTCTCTTATTCATCTAAAGTATCTTTCAAATTATATTATGTAACTGTATTCATTTTTAAAAAATATAATACATATTAACTTTTAATACTATTACTCTGGGTTTAATGCAGGATCATTCACTAATACAAAATGATGCTTGATCTAAAATTTACAAAATCAATAAATAGAATTATATTTTCTATTTTATTTATACAAGTTATTTCATTATTGGTAATTACACTTTCCATGGGGGAAATGTTCCAAGACTCCAGTGGATGCCAGAAATTGTATATAGTACCAAACCCTATACATGCTGATTTTTTCATATACATACGTACCTATGATAAAGTTTAAATTACAAATCAGGCACAGTAAGAGATTAACAATAACTATAAAATGAACAATTATAATAATATACTGTAATAAAAGTTGTGTGAATATAATCGCTCTCAAAATATCTTATTGCACTCTACTCACCCTTTTTCTTCTTGTGATGATATGAGATAATACAATGCCTATGTGATAAGATGAAGTACGGTGAATGATGCAGGTATTGTGACATAGTGTGAGGCTACTGCTGATGATATGGCTACTAAGTGACCGAGGGTGGGCAGCACACAGCATGGATATGCTAGACAAAGGGATAAGTCACTTCCTAGGTGAGAGGGATGGAGCAGGACAGCACGAGATTTCACCACACTATGCAGAACAGCGTGGGATTTAACAACTTATAAAGTGTTTACTTCTGGAATTTTCCATTTAATATTTTTGGACTGCAATTGACCTTGGGTAACTGAAACCATGAAAAGTGAATTTGCAGATAAGGGGGAATACTGTATTTAGGATATATTTATAGCCAAGAAGTTTAAAAATATATACATGTATATTTCATATTTGCAATAGCAATATTTTAGAAATGTTTTTTAATGAAAACAATAATTAAAATTTATTATTTTGACATTATTCATTGAGGCCTATTTTGTTCTGATACTTTTCTAATCTCTGAGATATACTAATGAACAGGGAGGCAAAGAGCTGCCCTCTTAAAACTTAAATTGTTGGAATAAAGATAAATAACATTATGTCATGTCATGTAATACGATGTAATAGTGTACTATTCTATATTATACTATACTAAATTTCAAGTAGTGCACAGAAGAAAATGAATCAGGGTAACACTAAAATAAAGAGTATCTGACAGTGTTTTTAATGTTAAGGCTACTTCAGAGGGGTGATCAGGAGTACTGTTGATGAGATTACATTCGAGAAAACATCTGAATGTCAGAAAAACCAGAGTAATCAAAACTAATGAGAGAAGTGTACCCTAGAAATGGAAACTTGAGAAGACCAAGCAGGCAGATAGTACTCTGGGTCCCTTATGCCTGTTTAAAGTTGGTGTAGCTCTACTTTTTCTCTTAAATTACGGTGTCCACCTAAACATGTTCACTTAAAGAAATAATTTTGTGACCATAAAATAGCTCGCAAATCACTGATCTTCTCTCTTTGGTGTTATAAGAATGGAGAAAGAGTTATATTCAAATTAGAAGTTTTGTTCTATAAAAATATCCTTGAGGGAGCTGTAGTATCACAGAGTTTTATATTTGTGTAGTAATATTCATGCATCAATACAAAAACTAGAAAGACTTGTTTCTGAATGAATTATGAATGCCATAAAAAGTAACAAATATTTCACAGTATTAAAATCACTAGTGAAAATTATGAAATGATGGAAATGAAGGCATGAAGATATTGTTGTTCTTTAATGTGATACCTGAAAGTAGCAGTTCCATGTTGCTATTGCTGAGTGTTGCATTGACTCTCCCAGTGGAAGCGTTGAAACTAGTAATTGTCAAGGTCATGGGTTGTTTCCTTCCCTTGAAATTATATGAGCCTTTCCATATATAATTTTGGGCAAACACATCATCAGGAACTGTGAATAGATTAAACACTCATTAGTTTTACAGTGTCCTGTAAATACAAGCCTTAAATAGATTAATGAGTATCAGTTTACTGAATAATGACATTTGTTAAATACACAATAATGTGGAATGTGTATTATAAAATGAATTTTTCACATAAAAGTATTCCAATTATTTTAGAATAAACCAAAATTGGAATAACCTAGATTTTACATGAGTCATCAATAAGAGATAAACAAATAACACCAAGCAAAGACATGAGACATATTTAGAATCCAGCTAAATATCAAGTTTACTTATATTTGGTCTCCTATAATAATATCTTTATCTTAGGAGGAAAATAGAATGTTTTTACTGAGTCAATTCAGTCTATATCCATGTCCCAAGAAGCCTGCTTTTCTCCTAGCAGTGGGAATAGATTCTTAGGAGAAAGAACAGAGTTAAACCCTCCTCCCAGAATAGCCCTGGGAGACTGACAGGAGAGACACTCCCTTGGCCCCTTAGAGAATACTAGTTCAGTTATTCCAGTAATAGATGCTCCTGAGGAAGAGCAAGGCTCTATCACATTGACACCTTTGAGGTTTACAGGTATTTTTATTTATTTTGTTTGGTAAAAGAAACAGAACTTTCACATAATATTTTATTCTAACATTTACTATTTAGATTTACAGGTATTTTTAGAAATAAAAAGAATAGTCACTATAATTGCCTGTCATGGGAGAGAGATTGTGGCAGAATCAAAGAATATACTGTTATAGAACATTCATCTAAAAAAGAAACTCTTTATGTGAGATACAACCCGATAAGACTTAGTATATTTATATAAATTAGTTATGTAATTTATAATTATATAAATTAGATATGGTAAAGTCTACTCAGATCTTGGGAAGAGGCTGAGAGAAGTTTCCATTAATCCTATACGTCAGCAGTCCCCAAACTTTTTGGCACCAGGGACTGGTGCGCTTATGAGAATCTAATGCCTGATGATCTGAGGTGGAGCTGAGGCGGTGATGCTGGAGCTGGGGAGTGGTTGCAAATACGATGAAGCTTTGCTCATTGACCACCGCTCATCTCCTGCTGTGCCGCCCAGTTCCTAACAGGCCACACACCTGTACCGGTCCACAGCCCGGGGGTTGGGAACCCCTGCATACATCATAAAGCACATCCCAGATATCAGCTATTGAAGGGAGCCATGCCTATTTGTATGAGTGAGTGAATGACAAAGATTTAGGAAAAAGCCTTTTTTATTGACATTTGCCAATCTTGTCTATATACACACATCACACACATCACATTTTCCTGATCAGACCAGATAGACTGAGGTTACAAATTGTGTAGTCCTTGAATTCTACTAAGCAAACTAATAAAACATAACTACAGTAAAGGATGAACATCAAATACTCTCAGCAGTTGAGTTTTTTCTGACTATTTCAACCAACATGATTAATTTTTTGTGATAATTTAAAAGCGATATAATGGAAGGGTTAGAAATGCAGGCACTGAGGTTAGGCTGCTTGTATTTATAATTTCTAATCTGTGTGGTTTTGCAGAGATTACTTAATTCTCTAAAACTGAATTTCCACGTGATTAACATGGGATTAACATAACGTTGTTAAAAAGATTAAATGAGATAATGAACTTCAAGAATTTAGCTAAGGGTTAGTTTCTACCATTAATATTATTATGCAGGTAAAATAGGGAAACTAGATTTTATAGCTGGCTACACAGTTGCTAATAAAACATATAAAAAAATCCATAGTCCTGACTCTATGACCTTTATCAAACCATCCTTCTAGTGGCACTGTGTCCCCAAACCTCAAACTACACAGCTATGCTACGTACATTTAGGGGAACCTTACTTAAAAATCTGAAACAGTGTATGGGTTAAAAGCCCTTGATTTGGTAAGCACCTTAAGGAGCTTTTAGCTTTAAAAAAAGTATATGTAGAACAAGTTCTCAGGAGTGAGTAGCAAGCTAAATTGCCCAGTATTACAATGATCAAGAATGTAGAAGTAATAGGCTCTTTGTTGTAGAGAGAAGAGGAAGAGCAAGGGGAGCAATATGTTCTAACATCAGTGCCTGACAAATAGTAAGCACTCAATAAATGCTGTCTCTCTGATTGTTCATTTCCCCTGGCCCATACTGTGATCACTCTTTGCTACTCCTGAACCTTTAGTGAATATCTGCTACACCTAATGATTTTGTCCATGGTGCTTAGGGAAATTAAGGAGTGGTGGTTGAAGAAGATGAAAGAGAACCATAGTGTCAGGAGAAAATAACAGTGGAGAGAAGTAGGTAGCAGCTGCAGCAAAGTACATTGTATCAGGATTAATCTCTGAGGTGGTAGTACACGTTTAACAGCTGACTTCAGGAAAAAAAAAAGTATTTGCTGCTTTCTATGGTGTAAATATTCCCATAAAGGCGGATTTCAAGCTACCAACATGACATCACTGAATGCACAGAACTGAGTACGGTGAACCTTTACCTACTCGTTCCAGCATGCCCCCACCCTCCTCCCTCTTTCCGCACCCCCATTACTGAGAAATGTGACTCATGGTACTGCGGGAGAAGCAGATACTATTTAGTCATTTATATACCTATGTATAATAGGAATAATACTTCTTTCTATTGTTAAGTCTATTTTGAGATTTAAATATGATTGCGTGTTTGGCAGGTCTCTGTCAACTCTGTCATCCAACTACCATCGATGTGGATATCATGAAAAGGGGAGAAGATGATGGTCATGATCTTTCCTTCCAAAGACACATTTGAATTTAAACTTTGCTTCATAGGCTTCACAGCTTTGCCAAATGGCGTACTATGCTCCTGACTTTAAACCATTGCCAAATTGCATTCCTGTCACTTTGGAGTAATCTAATCACTGTGTCTCATTCTCGATTTTAAATGAAATGCTAATATTTTGCCATTTAAGATGACACTGTTCTAGAGTGCTAGGTTAAAGATTTTTTTTTCCTTTCTAATTTATTAACAGAGTTTCTAAAAAATTATAAATAGATGTTAAATCTTAGAAAATATTTTCTGTGTAAGTACTGCAATGATCATATTTTTTGAATGTTAATCTCAAAGTGATAGATTACTTTTATGGATTATTTAATATAAAAACATTCCTGTTTCTCTATCGTGAATCCAATTTGGTAATGAAGTGTCATCTTTACTATAATATATTTGATTTGCAAAGATTTTATGTAGAATTTTTTCATCTACAATCTTGATTCAAATAGCCCTATAATTTCCCCTTTTTTACGTACTTATCTGAATTACTAGAGTTATGTTGAACCCATAGAATAAGTTTTATTGACTGGAAGAGTTTTTCTAAAACTGAGATAATCTGTTCTGCTCCTTTAAAATTTGGTAGAAATCAGTAGAGCTACATGAACCTGTTTTTTCTTTGTATAAATAGTTTTAACCACTATTTTGTTTATTATGGAATTACTCGTTTTCTTTTATAAGTTAGACCTAGTAAAATATATTTTTCTATTAATTTATCCATTTTGTTTAATTTTTTTTAAGTTGACAGTTTTTGGTAGTTTTCAGTTAATGTATTTCTAATTTATTTAATCTACTTTCTATGTAGTTATGTTCACATTTCCTTTTGATATATTATTTATTTATTTTTCCTTTCTTGACTAATTATACCAGAAATTTTTCACTCTGTTTTATCATAGAACTACCTTTGGCTCTGTTTAGATTTTTCTGTTGTATCTTTGGGGTTTATTTGTTTGTTCATTTTCATGACATTGATTTCTGTTATTCAGAGCACTTACCTGCTCCCAGATAAAGCAATTCTCTTGGAAAATTCTGTGCATTCACTGACCATTATGGATTTCTGACTCCATTGCTAACCTTCCTCTCTTATGTTGACATATTCGTTGACTGCTTTTGTGACATTCAGTCTGCTTTTTGCTGAGTGCTAATTAAATCGATATCTCAGAGTTATGTGGGTACTCCAGTTTTGTAGCATGTACACTGAGAACTTCTGAACCCAGCCAAAATTAGAACCTATCGCTGATCCTAGCTCAATACAGCTGGGCCAATCTGTCTCTAGGCAGTTAGACGTTAAGCCTTTAATTTTATCAGTACTTTATTAGTACTGACTAATACTCAAAAAGTATCTCTCGTATACTGAGCCCTTTTATTTATTAAGCACTGTGCACTTTGTTTTCATGATGTCATTTATAATAACCTAATCATTACTTCTTTTGTTCAGTTAAAGAAATGTAGGCGAAGATATATTAAATAGCTTTCCAAGGTCACAGAGTAGGGAGTGTACAACATGGGAATTACATCAAGGTTCTAGGACTTTAAAGCTCATGTTTTTAATAACTATACTAGGTTTTAAAATTTGCTTTTTAAATCAAATAATTGAAAATATATTGGAAAAGTTCCATAAATTCCCAAACTTTCATTCTCGTACCAAGTGTATCTGGTTCCTTTGTAAAAAATAAATATCTGTATTTAAAAATTTTATATAACATCTCATTTTTATTTTAATATTTTAAATTAAACATTTTTATTATTAGTCATTTGTTGATATTCTTAAAAGGAAATTTTACAGAAAGAACTATAAATAACATTTTTGGAATATTAATATGCCTCAGTATTATATTGCTTAAAATTCAGCATATTATAACATAAATTATCAAATTCCAAATATTCAAATGCATAGTTTTGCATATTAAAATAATTTTTCTAAATAGTCACTTTGTTGAGAAAATAGTATTTCACTTTTAGAAATCATGACTTCTAGAAAAACAACTGAAATTACTAACCACTTAGCTTTGGGCTGGGTGTTCCTAGTGCAGGTCTAGGATCTTTCACCAATATTTTGGAACCAGCTATGAAAAGAAAGAAAAATATTTATAAAAAGTTAATTTAATTAACAACACATACACAATGTGATGCACTATCAATTTTATTCTCTGACATAGCATATAGTTCTAAAAAGTATCCTGTTCCTCATAGCATCTCAGTCTCCAGTCAACACTCCTATGGGACAGCTAACAACTTCAGTAATTACCCCCGTTATAGCCTAGTGGTAAAAAGGGAAGATAAGTGCTACCATACCATTTTGGGATAATGTTTCTTATTTTAGAGGCATAAACTAACATAGAAACAATTGATTCCAATGTAAGAGCTGAGGGCTGAGGGTATGTACCTGCTGCAAAAAGGCAGAAATCGTTTACAGAGGGTTCAACTTAAAATATAAAATTTTGTTAAGACAGTTCATGGCGTCGCAAGAAATTGGGTAGAATCAATGGTGAAAACTTAAAACTAACATTTTAAGCCAAACCAAACATAGCTCAAAATCAAGGAAATCATGGGAGCTAGAAATGCCTGGAAAGTTGTAGGAATTATAATAGGCAGTGCTGTGAACCATGTTAAAGCAGACCTTTATCCTAAGTTTTTAAAGACAATGTCATGATGTCCACCCCAATCACTTCCCCTTTAAAGACAATGTCATGTCTTTAAAAGGTTTGAAGGGGAAGTGATTGGGGTGAACATCACTCTGGCTGAAAAAGGAGCAGGTATATCAATATAGGCAGAGAAGTTAAGAGGCTGCTGCAGTAGCCCCAACAGAGATAATGCTGAGTTAGACCGCTATAGTAGTGATGTAAAACAGAAAAGTGGATAGATAAAGAAGCAATTGAAATCCTGGGGGATTTAAAAGGATGGGAAGATGTCAAAGATGACTACTAGATTTCTATGTACTATATGATGATGATACCACTGGGACAGGGAACACACAAAATAGATGATGGTGAGGGGAAATTTGTGAGTTCAGATTTGCATATATTGAGTATTGAAAAGTCTTTGATAAATTCAAAAAGAGATGTCAAGTAAGCAATGGAACATATAAGTCTGGAGTTAAGAGAAGATAAATGAGCTAGAAATATTAACTTGTAAACAGTCTTCATAGAGAAGACAGTTGAAGCCATTGGCTTGAATGAGCTTACCTAGGGAGAGAATATTGAATAAAAGGAAGAGATGGCTAAGAACCAAGTATTTAGAAAACCATGGGTAGAAAAGAATAAATTTATAAAGGAAATGGACACTTGATAGCCGAATTATGAGAGAATAACATTTATTTACTCAAATATTTAATGAACACGTTTTACAGACAAGGCACCAATTCAGATGTTAAAATGACAGTTGTAAACACTTTGAACAAAGTTTCTGTTTTTATTGAGATTATATTCTAGTTAGGGAAGGGCAGATAAAAGGACAGGAGAGTGGAGAAAGACAATAATAAGTACACATATATAAAAGAATAAAATCTCACATTATAGGAATTTCTATCATTAAAACTGTCTTTAAATGTAAAAAATAAGTAACATTCTAAGAGAAGAGAGTAAAAACATTTCGAAAAGGATAAAGTCATTAACATTTGTGAATGATGCAAGAGATCAAGAATTAGAAGGCCTAAAAAAAGTGAAAAAATTAAAGGAAAAGAAGTTTATTGATGACCTTATCAAGAATTCTACAAAAACTTCTTTCACTCCTTCTTCTGGAAACACATCCCTATTTCCTCCAGTAAACTCCTTACATCTTATCCAGACAGGGACTCTCCTGATCAAGCAGCAACAGGGATGGACACTTCATCTAGAACTGGTCAGCACACCACATCACCCAGCTGAGCAACAGATTTGGAAATAGACTGTTCAAACTGACAATCAGACTCCTGAACGGCGTTTTTATAGTCAAGCTTTAGAAAAAGACTTTTTCTACCAGGGTTACTCTGCCAGAAAGGTATGAGCCCAGGGATACTGGCAGCAATTTTCCCTACTGTAGTGGGTTGAATAGCGTACCCCAAAATGTACGTTCACTAGGAACCTCAGAATATGACCTTATTTAGAAATCAGGTCTTTGAAGATATAATTAGTTGAGGTCCTTGGGGTGAAATAATCCTGAAATAATTCCTAACTTTAATGACTGGTGTCTTTATAAGCAGAGAGGACATACAGAGATACGTAGGAAAGAAGCCCATGTGAAGATGGAAGTAGAAATCGAAGTGATGCTATGAGCCAAGGAATGCCAAGAATAGCCAAAAGCCATCAAATACTAGGAATAAGTAATGTATGCTTCTTCCCTAGAGTCTTCAGAGAACACATGGTCCTGCTGACACCTTGATTTTAGACTTCTGGCCTCCAGAACTGTGAGAGAATAAATTTCTGTTATTTTAAGCCACACAAGTGATAGAACTTTGTTATGGTTAGCCATAGAAAATTAGTACACCTACCATGAATAGAAAACTAGAATAATAAAGGCAAAAAGGAAAAACGGATCATGGAAAAGAAACTATAGTCTACGGCCATGCTACCCTGAACAAGCCCGATCCCGTCTGATCTCTGAAGCTAAGGAAGGTCAGGCCTAGTTAGCACTTGGATGGGAGATCACCTAGGAAGACCAAGTGCTGTAGGCATAAAAAATAAAAAATAAAAAAATAAGGGATTGTAAGCTGACAAAGTCCTTGCAATCTGTGAGGTCAACCAAGTGTTGTCTCACCTGAAAAAATAAAAAAATAAATAAAAAAATAAAAACAATAAAAAATAAAAACTATAAAGACCTGAATAATATTGTTGTGCCTCTGGGTCCAGAAGTGTCTACATCAGTCTTATCCTTGGGGATGGCCAACAGATTTCCCTTGTTTCTAAGCTAAGTTCAATGGATTTTTTTTTTTGTCTCTTGATTCTGAGAAAAGTCAAAATAGTACATCTACTTTTAAAAGCTTTTGTAGAAAAAAACTTACCTTCGCAAACAGGAACTTTTCCAGTCCAGGTGTTATCAGATCTACACATTCTATGTTCTGTTCCACCTGCTAAGAAGAAGCCAGGCTGGCAGGTATAAATTAGTGTATACCCATGGGATGGAAGGTCCATTCCTACTACATTTGCATGAGCAGGAGTTTCTGGCTGTTTGCAGCTGTGGGCTATATTAAGAAAAGAGAAAAATGTTCATTTTTTGTAGACATGTTAAAAAAATTTGAGACTGGAGTCACGATATATTTTTAGATGTTTGTTAATATTAAAATAGTTATTCTAATGAATCAAGGCAAATGCATAAATGTAAAAATACATTTTGATTTTACAGACTAGCATTTTCTAAACAATCATCTGTAGAATATTATGTTAACAGGTAAAGTGAGCAAAGAAAAATAAAGACTGTGGATAATTAAGCTCATAAATGTATACTATATCACCTTGTTAGATATCACGATATATATTAGCATTTTGAAGGATCTAAAAAGTCTTCCAGTAAGAGGACTTTTTTTTAAAGTTTATCAAATTCCAATTTTCTATACCAGTTTAGGAAATATGTCCTTTTATTTATTATATTTATATTAGAAAAACATGTTTTCTAAAGTTAAATCCAACCACTGCTCATTATGTTATAGTGATATTAATACTTCTTAATAATTTTTTTACATATAGAATTTTCTGGCCACATTTTGGGTTTACATAGTGGCAGAACTTTTTCATTCATTTAACATTTTGCCTCCTTTTCTCCATGTTTCCTCCAATTCCTAATTCTCTATCTTGATTCCACCATCCCTACAACTTAAGGCTCTTCTTGGCTCTGCCCTCTGCCTAGTTTACCTGTTTTGTATCTTCTAAAGACCATTCCTTTCTCAATCAGAAATAGAGGCTACAGAAATTTCCCCCTAAACAAGACAACATTTCTGATCATTTGTTCATGGATGAAGATCTTAAAGGTGATCTCTGATAAAAGTATTCTGTAGACAAATTTGGGAAAAAAAATACCATTTTTTTCTCAATGATGATTTACAAAATTATAAACAGCTAACATTTTTTAACACTATTTATGTAATAAATATTGTATTACATGGTTTATATTTAACATAATTCAGTTAATGAAATTTAATCCTCCAGGGGGAAATATTGCTAAGGATAAACACAAATAGTCTGTCTCTGCTATGTTCTTAACCCCCACCTTATGCACATTCTAAAATTCTGATATGCTTTGCAGTAACAGAAGCTGTTTAACTTCATTTAAATCATCATATCCCAAATGTAGGTCATCAAAGAATCTTGGTATACTACAGAATACCTAGTACATCCCACACAGCAATTTTAAAGTACACACTGGGAGGAAGTCCTTTTTAAGAAATTTAGCCGTATTTAAATATAAACCAAGTGGGTATGTGATGCAACTCAGTGAGTGGTCTACTGCTTTTCAGTGAGCTGCAGGTCCATGGGGGCTCCCATGATTATATAGGTGCTTCTGAACAGAGCTAGAATAAATTCACAGGACTTACTTGAACTTCAGCAAATCCTGAAAACTATATACCATTCTACTCCCACTTACTCTTTATTTTTTCCCCCAAGAGGATCAGAATTGTAAAAGATGGGGGAGATTAAAAAAAAAAAAAAAAAGGAAGTGAGAGGGAAAGAAGAGATAAGTAACTCACCAGCTAAAATTTATTTCTAATTGTAAATCAGAAAAGACTGTTTAGTGACCATGGGCTTTGTTCTAATTTAATCTTTAATAGCAAGCGTTCTCAATTTAGGGTCATGGAACACTTATAAGCTCCAAGAAATCTTGAAGTAATATTCAAATTTTTGGTCAAGGTGTTCATGCATATTTCTTTTCATGGATTTTTCTAGCTTTCCACAGATTCTCAGATTGTTGCACAAGTGATAAGATTAAGAGCCACACTGTGTTAGAACTTCTTATATCTCAGAGTATAGTGCGGATCTATGAATCTAAAAAATAATCATCATCTAAAATTACCAGATGACCAAACTGACCACGCTGACAATAGCTTTTCAAAAATAACAAAATTATGCATCATGCCCTCAGAATTCTTTAGAAAGAATGCTTCCTAATAAGGCTATGATATAGTAATACAATTATATACAAGAATTATGTTTTACAATAGTCTAAAATACCTACGTGATACATCTATTATATGGACATAAATTTATTTTCGCAATTAGAAGAAAAATGCACATAAATTCTTACCCATGATAAGTATAATTTCTTAGTCATAAAACTTACGTATGCACTCAGGCTGAATTCCACTCCACATGAGGTCAGGAAGGCAAGTGCGTGTTGTAGACCCCTGGAGAAGGTGTCCTTTTTTGCAATGAAACTGCACAACACTTCCTACCTGTAGCAAATCGCAGAGAAAAAACAAATGTCCTGATGCAACTTCAAATACAGTAACAAACAGAAAAAAACTCTGGATGAGAAAATGCTTTTAAAGGAAACTATGTATGGTAGAAGTTGGAAGAAAAAGAAATTAAAATATGACTAAAACTAAAATTGGAGGGAAAAAAATCAAGACTGAAGAAAAACACTTAGATCTCTTTGTGTATATATCATCATCAAATGTTTAATTTCCCAATGTATACATAGTTGCCAAACTTTTTTGCCATAATTACTATTCAATAGCAAAAAAAAAAATGATGAACAATAATTCTAATTATGAGGCAGGCACTGCCATTTTAGATTTGAGTGGACTGGGGAAGAAAGTTGTTTACCCAAAATATATCACAAGAAAATACCATTAGGAATTATTAAATAATTAGAAGTGGAGGACAAGATAAAGAATATTTTGAGTCTGTCACCTCAGCCTTCCCCAACAAATGAAGTCTGAGAATGCTCAATTGTTGTCCTAGGGCTTATCACAGAGATCCCATTTTCTGGTTTCCCCTTAGTTCCTACTCCATCTGCTAAAGCAACATGAGGCTAAGACTCATGTGACATAATTTAACACCAGATTACAATTGGACTTTGAGACTAGCTAAATTTACCATTTCTCATATTCTCATCATCTCTCAGAACTATGCTACACCAGAAACATTCAATTCCAACGGTCATTCTCTCATAATAACCTTTATCCAGGTTATCTCGCATTGTGTCTGCCTTCATTCTAACCTCTAGGACATTAACACCTTCACTTTAGCCCCTAGGAGATCTCTTACCCACTTAGGGATGCCCCATTTTTGTCCAGGGCTACTGTATTGTTCAATTCCAGGGAGCACTTTTCACGCTGTATTCAATATAAACAGCATCCAAATTGTGCTCATAGCATGCCATTCACATACTCCCTGAGGTTGTGCAATACAGTGCTGTAGATTTTGACTTTGTCATATGGCCTAGATTATGTGACTGATCATGTAGATTTAGCAATTCTATTCTTCAGACAGTTCTACAAAACCCATCACTTCTATCAATCCAACAATCCTGTTTTGGGCTAGATCTCAGTTAATGGTGCCAACTTTCATCCCTCATTTCATCTACCCTGAAATACTAACAATTTACCTCCTAAATCTTTCTCAAATTGTCCTCCCTTCTCTCTCTCTCCATTTCTATATGCCATTTTAGTACTCAACATCTTTTTTTACAAGCTTTGTTTCTCAAACTTAAACAGATAAAACAAAAATACCAGGACTTATCAAAACACAGATAGCTGAACCCTTCATCTAGAGCTTCTGACAGGGTAGATCTAGGGGAGGCCCAAAAATCTGCAAGTCTAACAAGTCCCAGGTAATACTGCTGCTGATGGTTAGGGACCACACTTTGAGAACTATCGGTACAGACACTTACAATAATTATCTAACTTGCCTCCATTTCTCCAATGTTGACCCCATCGAATGTATTTTCCACACTAAAGTCAGAGTGAAAGATTCACCTATCATTATCCTTCTTAAAATCTTTATTGGTTTATCATCCAAAGGATAAAGTTACTTTTTGTTAACTTGGCAGATAAAAGTCTCTATAATCTGACCATTGACCATATCTTTAGCATCAGCATTAACCACTTAATTTTAGTCAAATTGAGCCCATATACTATTGAATTTTTGCAGTTCCCTGAATGCATGTATAATTTCTTGTTATTCTTCCTACATGAAATGCCTTTCTTTTCTTAGTCTCGCCCTAAAAGATTCAGTGCAGACAGCATTTCTAGAAAGCTTTCCCAGCAGCAATGGATTGGGAAAACTGTCCCTTCTATGTGCTTCCTTAGCACCTTTCAATGATATCAATGTTATCATGTATACTAGGAAATCATCTATTCCATCTGACCCACATATTAAAATGTCAGCTTCTCTAGGCCAGAAACTATGTTACGCAATCCTGTGAACCAAGAGCTTAGAAAAGTGTCTTGAAAATATTGGATCAACTGAAGGAATGGGTTCTAATAATTTAACACAAAATTATTTGATAACTTAAAAATACTTAATATATATATCAGATTTTCAAAGTGCAGTGATATACCTTCCATGTTTTCGTTAACATAAAGTTAACCATGCATTATTTGTTTTTTGAAGAGTACATTTGGGTTCTTTCATCAAACCTTTATATTAGTAAGAGAAACATGTTAGAAAACATAGACTTCTGTTTCTTTTTACATTTAAGACTTTATTTCTTCATTCCTGTGAACTTTTATGAAGTCACCATGAGTACAGCTTTAGATATTAACTGGATACTATAGAACTACAGTCTATTTAAAAATTTTCTATATATAACCAATACATTCAATGACATTTTTGTCAAATTCACAAATACTTAACACCAAATATCTAATATAGCTAGAGTTATACAAATTTAGTAATTGATTATTTTTTATTCAGAATTTGTTGTATTAAAACCAATCACAAATATTATCCAAGTATTGGTGCATTAATTAACAATTTTTTCAGTGATAAATCCAATTAACAGTGTATTTTAAATAATTCTTTACCCTTTTCTGATTTGCCATGATAGATCCTATGATTCTAAATAACTTTTAACAGGCATAATATAATTTGATTATTTTGGAGAAAAATAAGTAACACCATTTGAATTTCCATTACCTAATTCAAAAAATTATTGAAAAAATAATTTATGTAAATTTTCCCATGAATATTTACTAATGAAAAGTACTGTTCGTATAAGCAATTATATGCAATGTGAACATTAACAGTCAAAATTATTTTTATATTAGGATTTAAAAATCATCCATATCGTTTTAATTGTGCTAATGTTAATATTAAAATTACTTGTCATTGGCCCAAATTAGCAAGGTGTGTGCAGATTTTAAGACCTATCTTATTGGTAAATATGACAACGTCTTTAACTCCTTATTCCCTCTTTTAAATGTTATAACTCGGTTCTTAAGTCATAAAGTTTAAGTAGTTGATTAGAGGGTCAATTGAAATTTTGCACAAATTTGGCACTTTCTAAATAAGACCTATCTAACATTTTTATGATATTTCATAATAAATGACTCTTACTTTGCTAAAATCTTCATCACTATATTTATTTGTGTCTGATTTCTAACATCACATTTTGTTTAACTAGAGTATGCAACACAGTGCTTAATGATGTTCAAAATGTATTTATAATTAAGCCTTCAAAATTTAACAAGTAATATATTTAAATAATTATTTTGTATTTGTATTTTATTATGTTTATATCAAACATTTTAACACTCCAAATTGAGGTAGCTTCTAATAAAAGTCATGCATAAATTAAGGTTAATAAAATTGAAGTAGAGAGGCAGGATCATAAAAATAAAGGGATAACATGTGTGCTTAAGATGAGATGAAAAGGGTTTTCACTGAGCATATGTTTTGACCCTGAGTGTCCTGGTTTAAGAAAAATTGAACTTTAAGGTATTTTGTGAATTTATATTAAAAAATAAGCAAAAAAATTTAATTTAAAAAATTGAATTTTACATTTTTTTTGTTTCAAAATTCATGTCATCATATTCATCATTGAAAGGTAACATGTTTGCCTCATTAAATGTACTTATGTGTTAATTTTAAATATAAAACTGGAAATCACACATCATCACCGTGGTTATTTCGGTAGGGTTAAATATTTTCGTGTTAAATATCTTGGGGTTAAACATCTAAGAGTCAGCTTTAAAATATTTCATGTCTATAATAGCTTTATGTAACAAGCCCTAAATCTACATAATGTATCTTCCAATGCCCAGAGTTCAATTTCAAGAGTGATATAACCATTAATGAAATATATGTTTGGCATATACTCCATAATTAATCTAGATGTTGTATCAATCATTTTGACAGCTACTCCCTTCACTAGCAACCTATTTCTAGCAAAAATTGTTCCAGTTTTCAATATTTTGGATAAAAAGAGAAATTATGTTGAGTATTTTTTTCAACACTAGAGTTTTCAACATCTCTAGCAAGAGGTGATATATATTCTTATATGTTAATAATTATATCCATGTCCAAAGATCTATTATATAACTCTATATAGAAAAGGAGAGTGAATAAACACATTAAAGAAAACAATTAAGAACATGATTTGTTTGCAATTCATAACTTCCTCCTTTATCTTGTCCTTCCCAGAAGTGGGGTTTCTATACATACCTGTTTTCACTTAACTCACTATTGGCTACCTAATAAAACCTGGATGAATACAAAGTTGGGACATTCTGATTCTCTCTCTAGAAATTTGGAACGGAGATTGAGGGAATTAATCAATTTCTGTATGTGGCTTAAATACAAATAGAAACAAGGCACCCTTGACCATATGGCCAATCTGCAGAGAGGGAGAACAAAGTAGATAAACACAGAGCAGTGCGAAAGACTGAGTCCTATTGTCTAGTTTCTAAATCCTAGGCTTGATGAGTCTCACCTAGATTTTTTCTCTTGTGGTCTCAGACATACCTACAAAATGGCTTGTAATGCCTTTAGGCTAAAGCTAGCTCAAAATAGTTTCTGCTACTTACAAGCAAAAGATTTTCTCAATCAATAAAGATGCCTTTTCCAGGTATATATTATTTAGAATTCACCAATAAATTGATATTAGTTAGAATCAGAATTTTTAAAATTCTGTTGGCTCTATACAGATTTAGTAAATGCAATTAGTATACACACACACTTCTGCCATATGTTTGTAGAAAAGTTGATGTCCTTAATTTCATATACTCAGTATATCATTTGTAATTAAAAGAGATTATATACAATTATACTTTACCGTATTTGAAATCTAGTCTATTCATGTTTACCCAGATAGAATATAAGGATCTAATATATGTTTATTAGCCAAATAATATGAATTCAAGGTTAGGTTAATTTTATAACATTTTTTAGTGATTATAATAAAATTCTTAAAATGCAGGGTTAATGATTCTATTCGTTTCATTGGATGACTATTCCAAACTCAATCTTACTCATTTCCATTTCCATTATCTCAAAGGGTATTTACTAGAAAGGACTCATTCAGAAAATCATCTGATTTAGTACACAGATACTAACATTGAAATCCTGTGTTCCGTCAGAATATTGCCAATTACTTGCTCTGTGATCAAAGTCAAGTCACATTCTGTTTCAGTTTCTTGGTCTATACGACGAGGATTAATGCCTTATAGCTATTTGTCTATTTTCCAGGATTTAGTTCAATTGGTAAAACCTTTTATGTACATGTGAATCTAAAGTTTTCTAAAAACATCAATATAATAGAGACTGAGACAGTTTTTTTTACAGTTTTGTATTATCTAGACAGGCCTGAGGCAAACCAGAAGAATTGAAAACACTATCAAATCAATGTTCATACTGAGCCTGAACTGTATAAATGAAAACTATTTTTAGCAACAAAAATATGGCACCTTTGATGAATACTTTCTTTAGAAATGGATGTTTTTCAAGTTCACACTTAATTTCACAAAAAAATAGCACAATTTAGAAAACCCTGCAACATGAGGCAGTTGGATAATGTGTAAATTGACTATTTCCTTTTGGAATCAGTATACACTTTGGCTCCCCTTAGGCCCCTGTAATGAAAAACTTGATGAATCTCTGTATAAAATCTAAATTGGACAAAGAGAGAACAAGAAAGTCAGCCGCACATGACTGGGCATGCTAAAGAATTATAACAATCCAACTACGTGTCGTGTAACAATAGGTTATGGTTAAATTATTTTTGCAAATAATTTCCACATCAATGACAATGTATAAAAAGTTTTAGTATTATATATACACTATAAAACAAAAATATTTTCATCTTATTGCCTTATTGAATAAATTTTTATATATTAGCTAAATCTTTGTCTTTCCTTTAACTTCTTTCATCTGTACTTTTCCTCACTGTCCCCACATCTTCCTGTAGAGTTTATTCATTTACCCCTGCATGTACTCTAACACTCTCTTACATACTAACTACTGCTTATGGATTCTCCTATGCTCACAGCTCTGTCCAATTTTTCTTTTCTTGTATCCTTATAGTCAGTTAGGCTATTATTCTTGAAGCATATTTTTCTTCTAATTTTCTTAATTTTGCTCTTTTGTTGCCTATTACTTTTTTTAAAATATGTTTATAATACAGATATAAGCATGACTTTTTTTCTGTCTGCATCGCATCGACAGGACTATATGCATGCAAACTAAAGAAGCTTTCTGATCTAGTTTTATACTAAATGGAAATATTTATTTAAAGTACCCACTTGAAATCCGAATGTATTGTTCTGAGATCCATGCCGTGGCACTCCTGGGTTTTCACATGAGGTACGAGTGGGTTCTAAAATAAAAATTAAAAACATAATTTAAAAAAAATTAAAATGATATTAAATGTATATTTCTTATATAAAACAATTTTAAGTAATCTTAGGTATAATGAAAGGGTCCTAGGTATTAATAGTGTAATCTAATAGCATTTCGCCATGGACGGAAGCCTGCTAATCTTAAAGCAAGAAATTCAGGTAGACTGCATTTTAAATGAAATATGCAATTCTATAACTTTGAAACCTTGTAATATAAAAGTACTTGACATCCAACTAACTCTGTGGATAAAATTTAAGGAAAAATGGAGAATATGAAAGAAGAACACATGCATAAAACATTTGCCCAAAGACTTTGCTAAATTATAATCTCAGGTAGGGTAATATTCCCCTCAAAAAGTAAGATTTTTTTTCCAAGAAACATGACTTAGTTATTTGGATTTTTAACTGACATCTGCTGGAGATTCAGACATAAGGATGGTAGGGCTGGCATTCTCTGAGTTGGATAGTTTGTATGACAGGTTATCTGGTTAGTTTACCAAATGTGGCATTTAATATCAGGATTACAGAAATGTACTTAGATGAATTGCCAGTTATAAAAAAGAAGTCATGGGGATGTAACGTAAGCATAGGGGATATAGTCAATAATATTGTAATTACTATGTACGGTGCCAGGTGGGCATAAGACTTACCAGAGTGATCACTTCACAAATTATATAATATATGTCTAGTCACTATTTTGTATATCTGAAACTAACATGATATTGTATGTCAACTGTAATTAAAAATAAATAAAAATAATAAAAGAAATGTACTTAGAGCCATTTTGAAATCAATGTACCTTTTTTATAATTTTGGAGTAAGTTTAATTTCATTTAAATATGCTTTAACTCTAAAGAACTATGCTGATGTCAGTAATTAATAATGCTATTAATCTGAAAGCTTTTCTTTTTCATTTTATTGATAAAATTTTTATTTCAAGTATTTCTCCTGCAAGTTTTCCATGCTAAAAATATCATATGTTTTACCAATATTAGTGTCTTCTAATTGCTTTTCTATTTGTTTTTCATATTTAGTCAACTATTATTTATAGGATAAAGAAAACCATTAAATGTCACCACTATGTAGTCTATCCAAACTACTGAGTGTAATCGACCTTTCATTAGTCTTACCTATGCAGTGAGGTGACGAACCACTCCAAGTGCCATCTGCTTGACAGATTCTGGTGCTTGATCCCACTAATATGAAAGGAGAATTGCAACTGAATGAAACCTCTGACTGGTATATAAAGCTTTTGCCTTCTCTTTTTCCTTGGGCAGGTGTACCAGGGTCACCGCAAAACTTTGCTGGAAGTGTAAAAAAAGACAATTATAACAAAGATTTAGAATTTATCCGAGTAAACAATTTGGAAAAATGATGACAACTGGAATATTGCACTAAAGTGATATGTTTATCAATGTTATACTCTCCCAATGAATTTTTAAGCTTTTCTTTACATGAATAAATACTGAATGTTCAACTCAGTATAATATTTTAAAAGTTAGTCTGATTCAGGTATTTTCTACCTAGTAGCCCGCCTTAAGAACTGTGTGTGTGTGGGTTTTTTTTTTTTTCCATACTGACCAGAATCAAACCACGTATTTGTACATAGAGGCTGAAAAGTTGAAGTATATGCCTGAAAAGGCACGTGATTCACAGATAGCTGTCAGAAAGAACCAAGCCAGAATGTCTGAGTTGTACTCTCCAGATTGCTATGTCTTTTTATATGTATGTAAAATATATGATTATTTGTTTTGTTGAATAATCAGAGCATATAAGTCAGTATTTGTTGTCTTCAAAATTCTTTGGAGGTGGGGGCATTAAGTGGTTTTTTGTTTGTTTGTTTTTAAGAGAAAAGACCATCAGAGTCCAAATCTAAACAAACTAAGGAATCTCAGTATTCTACAGCCTCTGAAAGGATCAACCTAACAGGATTTCTAAACAAACTGATTAGATAATTCTGTTCCACATGTATTTTTTTAACTGTCAAAGAAACACTATTCTAGATAGTTTTAGATTTATCAGTAAACAAAAATTCCTGCCCTTTTTGGAGTTTACATATTTGTGAAGAAACCAAACAAACAATAACATAATTAATAAGTAAAAACGGTAGTATGTGGGAAGGTGATGAGTCCTATGTGGAAACAGTGTGAGAGAAGGAGATCAGGAGTGTGGATGTGTGGACTTGATAGATGGTGAGTGGTGGGAGTGGATTTTAAATGAAGTGGCCAGGGTGTCTCTTACTGAGAAAAGACTTGGGGGAAGCAAAGCATTTATGCATGCTGACATCTCAAGGGAAAGTATTCCAGATAGAGGAAACAGCACTGCCAAAGCCTTATATGCTGGGGCAAGTCTAGCATATTAGAGGAAGAGAAAGGTCAGGAAGGCTGGAGCAGAGTGAGCATGTAGAAGAGTAATAGGGGATGAAATCAAATGGTTTCAAATCTAGTAGATAACTGAAGCAAAGGTACCTATATACTATGCTTTCAATTTTTTTTTTTATTGTAGTAAAAAATACATAACATACGATTTGCCATTTTAACTATTTTTGAGTGTACTCAATTTTAACATTTGTAGATTAAGCACCTGCGAGCTTATTTCTCTACAAAGCAAACAAACCACCACAACCAACTGTTTCTAAGTATAAACTCTGCCTCAAGATGACTATAGGTTGAGTGACTATAAAATGTATCATCTAAACCAAGATATTTTGAGAGTGAAACGGGGCCTCTAACTGGATAGGGCAATTACCAGGACAACAGGTATAAACCAGGAATGCTGCAGGCAAATTGGAATGCATGAGTACCTTAATTAGAGAATACCTTAGTCTTAAACTCAGTGCTCAAAGAAAGACTTTCTCTGAAATTCAGACTCTAAGAGAAACTTACATTTTCAAACCTCTTTTTAGAAACATTCTTTTAAGTTTTTAAAACATTTAAAATTAAAAGTAATTATTAGATAACTATTAAAACAAAAAAGGTTGAGGAGAAAATTAAGACTAAAGTAACACAGGTAAAATAAACATTTTTTAAATGGTGTTTTGTTTTAATTTTCACTATTTCTTATATATTGTAAACCTTAGGGCTACCCGGCATGCAATATACCCGGCAAGCACTTCTAGCAATATAACATCAAACCTTAAAGGCCAGGGCCCTTATCTTACTACTTTGTAGCTCTAGCACATTTTGAATTGAATGGATATTTCTTCAGTAATCATTATCAATGGGCATTTCAGCTTTAGCAATCACTTCTATTGATAAATTATTTCATAATTTATATCTGAAAAGGTTCTCTTGTATATTTCTGCTGAGTCGCTCATCATGAAATCTTATTCAAAAAAAAAAGAGGAATAAAATGCACCCACATAAATTCCTCAGTTCTCTCCCCACTCCCATCATTCCATCTGTTTCTATATGTATATTTTCATATACTAATCCAAATCTACTGGTGTCAGGTTTAGAGGCTTAAGACACAGGTTTATTTTCAAAGGTTTCAGATCACAGTGATATAAACTTTAACATAAAAAGACATGCTTTGAACAGATTTAAAGAGAAAAGGCTTTCCTCTTTATAAAATCCCTAAAATGAATTAATTTGGCTATTCAATGGATAAGGGAATTGTCTCTTAAGTCTACCTTCTCTGAACTGGAATTCATACTCTGCATTTACTAGCAGTATGACCTTAAGCCACATAACAATGTAGCTGGTTCCCTAAATGATGACAGAATTGTAGTGTCCTTATAATTTAATCTCCCCCTCTGATCCCAAATGTCATTATCTATTAAAATGTCATGACTAAACATACTTACCCAGGATTCCTGTTATGTGTAGTAGAAATAATATATGTAAAGTAATTAGGACAAAGTTTGCCCTATCATATCTTGATAATTATAATTTAAATGTCAATAGTGAGAATTTTATTACTATTTTAATTTTAATGGATCAAAAAATAAAACATACAAAGAAACTTCTTGATTGAGATTTTTTTCATTCATATCAAACAAACTTTGCAATAAACTCATTTTTGTAATACCTCTTTGTTCCCATCTATGCTAAAGTGGCCATAGAATAATACCTCGTCTCATTTAGAACACATTGGTCTTTTCTAAGATGATCCTTAGCATAAATCAGAATTTTAAGGGACAATTTGTGTGACATCAACCTTGAGACATTAGAACAGACTTATTCTAAAATATCACGTTACCTAGAAGCAGCTTCTTTGGATATTGCAAAAATTGCAACTGTAATAGTAAATTATTTTTATCTCTCATGCTCTGAATAACTGGTTAGTAATATATCTCTGGAGCAAATATATGAATGATCTGATGGGCCAGCAAAATCATGGAATGTATATCCAGTATTTGCAATCATTTAATATAGGAAGCTCTTCGAATAAACTATGACAATGTAAACCTAATAATTTGTCTTTATCATAATTCTAGTCAGTATATTAAATATATATTCATTTTATGCTAAAACATGTGATTCATTCAAAAGGATACACCTATATATAAGTTATATGAATGTCACTAAGTTATAAAATGAATATGCATGAGCCCAATACCAAACTTAAGGAAGCGAAAATTGCCACCACTGCTGAAATTCCTTGTGAGCCCCTCCTAGATAGCATCCCCTTTCTGAAGAACCAGTTAACAGACCTTGTCACATCCTGAATTCTAGATTTCTCATTTTCATACATTTCTTAATAAATTTACCACATTCACATGCATGCTTTAGTACTGACTTACTTAGTTTTACAACTGACAACTGATATTAGTGTTCATGGACATGTCTCCCTAGGCACATGGACAAAAATTTATGTATGGCACATACCCAGGAATACAATTTCTGGGCCACAGACTCTGCACGTCTTTAATTTCACTACATAATAAAAAGTTTTGTAAATTGCTGTGCCAATTTAAACATCTGCCATGAGTGCGTCAATGTATACATAGCTCTACACCCTCACAAACACTTGATATTGTCCAACTTCTTTTTTCAATCCTGTGAGTAAATAGCTATGTCTTTTGCCCATCCTTATTGTCTTTTTTGTTTTAGGAAATCTTTATATAGTCCACATATTATTATTTTTCCATGCATATTGATATTATCTGAGTTTCCGACAGATCATTTCATAATGAGAAATTAAAATTTTTTAATGCACCTGATTTATTTTTTACTTTTCAGTTATGGTAAAACTTTTTGCATCTTGTTTAAGAAATCTTTTCTTACTCTAAGGTCATTTAGATAGTCTCTTATTTTTTAAAACTTCTGAATGAATCTGGTATGGATTTGTTATTTGACATGAGATAGAAATTGTGTGTGTGTTTGCGTTTTCTAAGCTAACTGCCTTGTTGCATTAATTGAAATGTCCATTCTTTCCCCACTGATTTGTTCTATAACATACATATCAAGCATCAATAAATGAATCTGTGCTCCCTGCTCTATAACATTGGTAGAGTACATCATTCATATAATAAAGATAAGTAAAATGTAACACTTGTAAGGAGAAAACAGAAGAGGTGAAAGAAGACCATTAAGGAGAAAAAATAAAGCATAAAAGGGTAGTATTATAGGTCAACATATTAAATTTTAAAATGGTGATCAAAGACAACAATACTGAGAAGAGGGATTTTGAATAAAAAGCCAAAAGAGTAAAAGGAATTTCCAGGCAAAGTAAATAATGATTACAAAAAGCCCTGATACCACAGCATGGCTGAATGTTCAAGGAAAAGTAAAGAAGCTTGTATGCCCAGAGTAGAGTGGATGGGGGTTGGGTGGGTGAGTGGGTGGGTGGGGGGAACAGCAGGATATGAGATCAGGGGGAAGTAAGAAAAGGGTTGTATGAGCCTGCAGGCAATTTGGCTTCTGCTCTGAATAAGATGAGAAGACTGTAGGATTCTGAGCAGTTTAGTCAGCTAGCTTTGCCTAACTTCAAGGCTTTGGGGACAGGCAGAGTGCTCATCTACCCCACGCTGAGAAGGAAAAACGCTAGGAACAAGATAGCATTAAACATCTCTGAATGAGCACTGCCCACGTTATACGTTATAATAATTTGTGTAAAATAGAAATTTGACTTTCGTTGTCTTTTGTAATCTTCCAAATTAATCTTGAAGTGATATTTGCTGGGATATGTAGTATACAGTAACCCCTATAAAAATAATCTCATCTCTATGCTTACTTTGATAATTTTAAATGTATAATCACAAACATTATCATAGCAAATACCATCATAAAAACTCGATTAGAATGAACATGTAGGAGTGACATGAATTTATCGCAGAAAGAGATTTGGAGTTAAGTTAGAGCATTCAGCTGAGATAAACTGTACCTAAATAAAAATAATTTTCTGGCAGATTAATATCAGAGTTGTATCTTTTTGAGGAATAATTTTGAAAATTATGAAAAGTTTGCAAACAAAGCAGTTTAGTCTAAACTTTAGAATTAGAGTAGAAAAAACATAATGATTGGATTACATGAAAAGTAGCTTCATTGGTAAACTGATTTTTCACTGAACTTTGATTACACATTGGAAGGTGTTGAACAATCTCATATTTATACTAACAAAATTTGAAAACTTTAACAGTTTTAATCTCAGTAAATAGCTCTAAGAGAGTGAAAATGGCAAAAATAAAATTTTAAGTATGGAAATTATACTTACGTAAGCACTG